ACGTAATTTATCACAATGGGGCTCGTTGGCGTCCATTGCAGGAATTGTTGGCTCCCAACAACCAGCCCCTTTCCTACAGAGATGACGCCATTCTTCCAGCTGAGCCAAAATGGCCTGTACTCGTTGCAGGATAGAATAGATGATTCATCATAGTATTCCGTGAATGAGCACCCCAGGCATCCATGGACAAAGGACTTTTGGTTGTTAAATCCACCAATAGCCACCTCAATAACAGGTGTATACGTGTTAGGATTTGTGTGCAGCGCAAATATGGCATCTTTGCACGTCTTGACTAGAAATACCACGGTGGAGGTGCCGCCTGTGATAGTTTGAAGGTTGCTGGTTGATATCTGTTCGAAGGTGTATGTGCTGGTACTAGGCGTGGTCAATCTGATGTAGGGACCTTGCAATAAAAGTATTTAAGCATGTTAATTGTCAGTTGTACAAATTGTCTGCTGTGAGACACAAAGCCACAGTTATTTATTGAAGGATTAAACAAAGTTTACCTGTGCAGTTGATGGATGGTGGAGTCCATCTGCCATCAACCATGCAGGTGTTGTTGACGCTGACAACGTCTTGCGGTACATCTCTGTAGTTTCTGTTACAGATACATGACCCAATAGCCCCCGTTAGCTTGGATGCAGAACTGCAGATTGCATTGGGACTGATTTCTTCAGAACAAACATCTGGTTGGTAGACATCAGCTGTGGAGTTTAAAAGTTTAGTAAAATAGCACCTTGAAATTCCTTGGGACCTGGCTGGGTTGTGTTTGGAGTGAAACTTAAATCTTCGGTTGACGTGATACACACGTGGATCTCACAAGAATGCGATTCCGCAAGCTTTCTTTATGAACTTGATAAAGAGCATGAGAACAAGTTGCACCTGTGTCCTGAACGCGCGAGGAGGGTACAAAAGATATTGAATGACCGAGTGCTTCATAATTGTCATTTTCATTATGGGGGGTTGGTCTGTACAACTGATGTTTGCTGGTAGTGTTTTGTCTATATGTCACGATGTGTGACGTTTGTCAACACATTTAACATTATGATGACAATTTGTGTTATATAATGTCTGAGAAACTGTTCTTTACATGTGCTATATACCATTTGACCCTTTATTAATGACACGTAGTATATATCTGCTTCAGGTTTAAAGTGAATTAACTGTTTGACTGTTAATTTTCTTGAACGATATCAGACCACCGATACGCCTGCAACCTCGTTCCTATTATCCCTGCATTTCATTGTTTTCTAATCCCAGCAGAGGTGTTTTATCATAACAAAACAGGGTCCCGATCCACACAGCGTCTGTAAGGTTTCGACTTGTTGAACTGTACTGTTCAACAATTTTCGAATGTCATAGCGGTACAAACGCTTTGGATTTGGACTTTTCTCACAACTATGGTAGTTTGCTTGGCTGATGTATTTCTGGTTTTGCGGGGATGCAGAAACCTGATTTAAGTTATAAGTTAGTTATTTTCTTCTTGCCAGTGTTCATAACCGTCCATTTTAAATCGATGTTAAACATTTCAGGAATAAAATGTATTTCGTCCCGACCAAATAAGTTTTTTGAGTGATACAAAAAATGATTTATCAACCAAGCAAACTAATATTGTTTGTGAGAGCTGATTAAATAAGCAATGTACCAAGAAGTATGTTGCATAAAATATTTTTCAGCGAATTTTCTCTTCACGCCAAGTGTTTTCTCCTAACAAAAGTGGCAGCATTAGGCAGCATCAGCTCTCACAAGAAAGGATGTTTGCTTGGCTGATAAATCAGATTTCTGTACGCCCTGAAAATCTTGTTTGGGCGGGGCGAAATATACTATTCACACTTTGCTAAGGAAAGAAAACTATGATGTGGGGTTTAATTTGGTTTAAATGTCTAAACTTATTGTAAGCATGGATCCTAGGTTTCAGTATGTCACTGCATCTTGTGGATCGCATACCTGCCATTGGCAGGTATTGTGAACTTGTCAGTGATTCGTTCCATGATTTGCAAAATGGTTGATTGGTGCCATGAAAACCATTTTTATGGTTACTCATGCACCAAGTGCACAAGGTTAGATTAAAATGGCTGCCTAAAGAAGGGTTACCATATTATTGTTATTTATACAATATATAGGATTTTTTGTGATCCTTAGCAAAGTGTGAGTAGTATACAATTGCCAACCTCAAGAAAGATCTTGCAGATACAGTTAAATTTTCTTTCAGATTAGGAATCGTTCATAATTTATGGCTAGGGGCCGATGTTGTTTTTAAGGGGAGGGGGCACCCATTTTGTTCTGGGGAGGTAGGGGGTCAGCAGCTTTGTACACATGTACAAGGAGGTCAGCAATTTTGCACATAAAAATATCAATAAATATTTGGGACTGTTGATGACACACCCAGGTGAGCTACAGCCCGTAGAACAGTCAAGCTACTCAGGGCCGTTATTGTGTGTGCATGTGTAATATAGCAACATTTTTCCTATTATATCATTTCTGATAGTGGGAATAATAAAGTGTATTTTGACATCCCGGAGGTAACATGTCAGTGATTCAATTACTCGGCAGAGGGTCAATTACTGACAAATTAGGGAAGGTGATAAGGTGTATAAGACATATAAAGGACAATGGGAATTCATATGTATTTGTCTTAAAACCACTACATCATTTTGATGACGTCACACAGATTGTGTGAATTCTGATGGTCTCTCCATAGCGGTGAAAGGATTCATTGACAGAACGCAGGTGAAGTTGGAAACGCTAACGACATCAGTAATTATCGATACCTTTCAGAGCCTAACTGAATGTAGAGGAATGTGAGATCACTGAAGCAAAAGTGCGCCCCTTGTAGAGATGTAGAGTTAGCCATGGCTTAAATACATAGAGAACTTTCTGGTGGCTCAACACACAAGACAATGTTACCAAAAAGTCCCCTAACTCTGGCATGGGTCAGATCTTGAAATGTTCACTCGAGTTTCATCTTTCAGATTAAATAAACGGTACACCATTGTCGTCTGAATGTTTACAGAAACAATGTAATGCACGTGAATCCCTACACAATGACCAACACTGCAACACAACCCAGTGCTACTGCGCACTGATGTCTCTCTGGACGCCAATAAGGAAGTCGCCTTGTTACTGTCACATCCAATCTCTCGGTTAACCAACTCCTATGGTGAAGGATTCCTGTGAATATAATAATTAAGAATAAAGGCCTACCTTCCACACACAGCGGCGCTTTAGTCACACGATGCACACTACATCGCTTCCCTGACGGACACGTGTGATCTGCGCACGGACCCATCAATTCCTTGAAATATAGAAAATACTCAGTGTCACGTTAGCAATTACGAAATACTTAAGATAAGAAATTAAAACATGTAAATTATCCATAATGAATAATAATTAGGCCACCAAACTTGTTCTATAAGGATAAGAACTTTCACCTACAGTCATGGAACATCGTACACTTTTGTACATCGGAAATATCGGTGACAAGAGGATGTCCGATGCAATTCCCTATTTTGACTTACGCCATACGTTTCCGTGGTTTGCTTTTGTTTCGATCAATTTGTATATAAATTAGGGCGGTGGCGTAGCCTAGTGGTCACGCCGAAGGCCCGGGTTCGATTCTCCACATGGGTACAATGTGTGAAGCCATTTCTGGTGTCCCCCGCCTTGGTATTGCTGGAATATTGTTAAAAGCGGTGTAAAACTTAATCACTCAATCACTCACTATATATATTTGGGTTATGTCTTTTCCATACGTCAATATGATCGGCACTTTTCACACACACCTTCTGCCCTTCTGGAGTGAGTGAGCGAGTGAGTTTATAGTTGCAACGGCAATATTTCAGCCATATCGTGACTTTAAAAGATACGAATTCATAATTCACGCAATAAATCATAAAAACCTGTCGACGAAGGACAGAGAAATAACTAGATTATCAAAGTGAGTGAGCGCATTAAAACGTTTACGTCACATCGGCAATATTTCAGTAATATCGTGACGACAAAAAGTTATGTACTAAGAATAAATATATTTGTACTTTTTGAAAACCTGTCAGCGAGGACAGTATAACAACAAGATTATCACAAATTAAATAAAACTAGTTTGAGTTCAGTGTAAAATGCTAAATGATTTCAAAACAACACAATAAACATCGGGCTCTAGATCGCCACCAACTGAAGGTAGATCTAGGGACCATGGGGACTTACATTACTTTTGCTACCTGCATGGGTCCTAGCTGGATTTACATCTACAAACATTCTACGATTAAAATTCAGGCAATGATAAACATACATTGAATGATGTGGTCTTAAGTGAGTGAGTGAGTTAATATTCAACGTCACATCGGCAATATATCAGCCATATCTTGACGAAAACCAATGACACAATAAAGATGAAAACATTCTGAAGAGTAAAACCTGTCGACGACAGAAAAAGTACTAGAGTTTCACATATATGAATATAAAACTAGCATGTAAAACTAAAACATTATATAATTAAAGAAGACAATACAATATGAAACACGGGCTATGGATCGCCAAGAACTGAAGGTAGATCACCATACTAAAGACCATGGGGACTTACAGTGCATTTTCTACTTGCATGGATCCTAGTTAAATTTACACCATCCCTTCAGCCGCAGGCGATTGTAGGAAAATTCAGCCATAATTGAAAATCACATAAATTCTACACCTTAAAGTTTTAAATTTACTTTGAAAGTTTCAGGACTTACGTACCCTCTCAGGAGGACAATAATTTTACAATACTTTAAAAGTTGAAATAATTTTACTTGTTGAAAGCAAGTAAAATGTGTCTTTGGTATCGTGAAAAAGTGTTTACTAACTTCTAAAATTATCTTTGTTAACATTTTTGCTTGCAAAGTAATATTTTTTTCATTTTCTGTGTACACATAGCAATATCAATCGCCAAAACGCAGCAATATTCAAGCAGTTATTTGCATCCATTTCACAAGTGGAATGATTCTATAGGGTATGGAGAGACATTATGTGATACACAAGTACGAGAAGTATGCCACGATTAACAGCTGAAGAGAGAGAAAGAGCCATTGGGATGGTGTAGGTGGGGTCGACATACAGTGCTGCTGCCAACGCCCTCTGGTGCCACCGTATCCCTGTTATAAGACTTATTCAGGGCTCCAGTCAGACTGGGTCGCCGTAGACAGACCAAGAAGTGGCCGTCCACGCATCGCAATGCCAGCTGAAGATAGCTACCTCCGTGACTCACGCAAGAGGGTAACGTTTCTTTTGGCGTTTAATGTAGTTATGTATTCATTCGACCAAATTTAAAAAGAAGTTATTAATTACAGTACATGATCAAAATTATGAATCAAATCAATTTCCTTTGAAAAACCAAAAATTAAATGAGGACTTAAATGAAAAAGATCCTTTAGGATGAAACTGTGAAATATCGATCACATGTGATGGAAACATCACTGCAGTCAAGCAGGACGTGCTTGACCGTGATTCTTTCATAAGAAGGAATGCAAAATGGAGGATTTTCACCTTTTAACAAATATTCACGAGTATATCTGCTGTGGCCAATACGACATCGTCCCATGATGACGTCATCCAATCTGGACAGTCAAACCAAGTAGGTGTAACCGATAGTTGGTTTTATTGGATGTAACTGATTTATACCTACTTGAGTGTCTTACTTCTTCTGCAACAGATCACGAATATGTGATCTAGTTATAGCTTTGTAATCAGAGTATGGGATGAGAAGTGGTGTCACAAATTTGTTGAGTGCTGCCTAAGCAGCAAAATCGGTCATTGTGTTCCCAGAACTGCCAACGTGGCTGGGTAACCAACAGAGGACAATGTCGCATTGGCCGGTAGCAAGATCATTATATAATTCAATTACTTCGATTAAAAGTGGAAGTTTAACAGACAGATTATCCATAGCCTGAAGGTAAGAAAGAGTGTCTGAAAATGTGACACATTGATTATATCTAGGGCGTCTATTAATATACTTAAGAGCTGTTAGTATTGCGTTTGCTTCTGCTGTGAATATTAAGCTGTTATCTGGTAATCTAGAAGATAGTTCTGGATCCAACGACAGTGGCACAAGCCACTGCGCCACCATCCTTGGACCCATCTGTAAATAAGGATTTTTATGTATTATATTTACTTTTTAACTGATTAAATTATTGTTTATATTGTAATTCATTAGTTTCAGATTTTAAAAGTTCTCAGTGTTAGGTTAACTTGTGGCCTCAAGAATTGCCAAGGAAGAGGAGAAAGAAGGCGAGAAGGAGATTATCTCACATAGAGAATTAAAACAAGCATGTAACTGTAAAATGTAACCGTTTTTGATGGACAATACAACATAAAACTCGGGCTGGATATCACCAGCAACTGGAGGTTACCTGTATCCAGCGGTGTGATATCTCGGAAACTTTTGTGCTCAGGTGATATCGAGCTAAATCCAGGCCCAGTAACATTGAAGAAAGTACAAGAAACTATCCTTAAGGAATTACGTGATGTCAAAACAGACCTAACAAGCCAGATTACTTCCCTTAGAAACGACGTGCAAACGCTAACGTCTAAATGTGACCAGATGGAGGCGACGATAAGCGGAATTCAGAAGGAAATAAGTGAAGTTAAACATAGTAGCAGCATTATGTACGACGACATTGATGCACTATCAGAAAAAGTTGACATTATGCAGACGAAGATTTCAGATTTTGATGATAAAATTAACCGCCTCGAAGCATTTAGCCGACGTGACAACGTGATCATTTATGGTGTAACCGAATGCAGTGATGAGGATTATGTGATGTGCAAACAGAAGGTGGTCAACTTGATGAATAAATTCGTCAAGATAAAGAAGTGGTAAGCGTCGGATCTTAGTCGCGCTCATAGACTGGGGGCTAAACGTCCAGGTTCCGATCGACCACGCCCATTGATCGCCAAGTTCAAGGACACGGAAGACAAAATTGAGGCACTCAAAGCGAGAACGTCACTAAAGAATGCAGGATACGGAATCTCTAGAGATCTAACAGCCAGACAAAGACAACAGCTCAAGGAACTTGAAGGTACGGGTCTCAGGGGATACTTCAAGTATGGCAAATTAGTTACTGAACCGGATACACGTCGTACAACCCAAAATCAACTCGATGAATCCACTACAACCCGAAGAACGCTGACAGCACGACGCCCTAGCTCTCGCACTACGCCTGAACGGAATTCACAGCCATAGGGGTGTGGCCAAGGCTCGGGTGTCAGTAACCAGGAAGCTTTTAACAGCGATACTAGTGAAAATGATAACGTTGATGACTTTAGCCTTTGTAATGGCAACACATTTACGTCTGTCAATGAGGGGGTTAACTTGCGCATTCTATCATGGAATGTAAACGGACTCATAGGTCAATATCAAGACTCAAACTTTACTAGCTATATTAGTTCATTTGACATTGTGTGTCTAACAGAAACCTTCCTTAGTACAACACCACAGCATTGGTTTGCGGACTTCGATATATGTTTTGCACCTGCTGTTAAACTGGCAAAATATGGTCGCTTATGCGGTGGTGTATGCGTATGTATAAAGAAGAAGTTCAGTGAGCATTTCCAGATACTCACGATAGGGGTGGACAACTTTATTTGTATAAAGATTGGCAAAAATGTTTTTGGTTTTACCAAGGATATTTTACTTATCTGCGTATACATCCCTCCCACGGGATCAAATTATTATCACACAGTTAACTTCTCTTGTGCACTCGATAAGCTTGAGGAATTCCTATTTGAAAATATTTCTTCCTTCAGTAATTGTGCAATTCTTCTTTGTGGCGATATGAATGCTAGAACTGCAAGTGAGAACAATCCGTGTTCACCTGAGGCTGAAAACGAGGCTGCCGATATTATTGGTTCTTCCTTTATTGATGGGGATAATGATCCTGTCAGGAAATCCAGCGATAGTGGTCGAAAATTGTTAAATATATGCTACACATATGGATTGTTCATTGTTAATGGCTGAGTACCTGGCGATGCTAAAGGTGAATTTACGTTCATAAGTGCACAAGGAAGTAGTGTAAATGACTATTTTATCTCTTCAGCTGAGTTTTTCGACATAATAGCTATGTTAAATGTGGGTCAAAGTCTTGAATCTGACCACCAGCCCTTGGAGCTTTTTTGTTACTCTCCTAATTCGCTGTCAGATAAACAACCAGGTATTACACTTAATCTCGCGGAAACGTACAGGTGGAACAGTGCTTTATCAGATCACTTTATAGCTTGCCTAACAGGCAAAGCTAATGCCTTTTTTCACAGTTTTACTGAATATATAGATACTAATCTAGATGGTGCTCTTAGCCAGTTCGTAAGTCATCTACTGGATGCAGCCAAATGTATGAAAAGACCAGCTTTTAGATGCCAGACTTTAAGACGCCAACCCTTAAACGAGTGTAGGTCTGCAAAGCGTGAAGCGAGGAGGGCGCTTAGGAAATTTATACTTACACGACACGATTACAACAGAAATACTTTTTGTACTTTGAGAAATAAATATAAAGAATCATGTCCAAAATATAAGAGCAAAACAAGAGATCTCCGATTGAAAAAACTTAGCACTTTCACTCAAAATTCTGATAAATTTTGGCGGGAGATTCGTTCCTTGAAAAGTAAAGATAATGTGGTTTGTAAGATAACAACTGACCAGTGGTTGTTACACTTCCGTTCTGTCTTTTCACACTTTCATGAAGAATATGAATGTAATGATACAGCTAGCTTGCAGGAATCTAAGGCTAGTTTGGAGACCAGTGGTTATACAGAACTTGATGCTGAAATCCTTGATTCAATAATAACCGAAACCGAAATTGTCGATGCCATAGGAAATCTTAAAAACGGAAAATCACCTGGTCCGGACAAGATTTTAGTGGAGATGTTAAAAGCTTCCCAAGACATTATATTGCCATTTTTACATAAATGTTTTAACTATGTCTTTAAGACTGGATACTTTCCAAGAACCTGGGCACAGTCTATCATAGTACCTCTACATAAGAAGGGTGACATCAATAACCCTGACAATTACAGAGGCATATCTCTGACGAGTAGTATTGGTAAATTGTTTACATCTATCCTCAACAAAAGATTAAACATGTGGGCTAATATTAGAGATAAAATTCCTGAAATACAAGCTGGCTTTAGGAAAGGTTATTCCACATCTGATCATATTTTTACATTGTATGCAATTGTGCAAAAGTACTTAATAAGAAGAAAACGTAAATTATATGTAGCATTTATTGACTTTAGGAAAGCATTTGACTCTGTAAATCGACAGAAATTGTGGGCTTGTTTAAAGCGGGCGGGATTAGATGGGAAAATGTTATTTATGTTACGAGGTATTTATGCCAGCGTAAAGGCTTGTGTGCGTAGCAATGGGGGATTCACTGACTATTTTGAGTGCCCACTGGGTGTGAAACAAGGATGTTTGTTAAGCCCTATTCTCTTTTCCTTCTTCATTAGCGAATTGGAAAATGAAATAATTCATAAAGGCAAACATGGTGTACAACTATATCCTGATATTTTGGAGATTTTAATGCTACTGTTTGCTGACGACGTGATATTAGTATCGGACTCAGTGGTAGGTTTACAGAACCAATTAGACATTCTGGAGAACTACTCGAAAGAATGGAAATTAGATGTTAATCTTGATAAGTCAAATATTGTTGTATTTAGAAGGGGTGGACCAATCGCTAATGGCGAAAAATGGTCTTATAACGGCATTCCAATGCAAATAGTTTCTGAATACAAATATCTTGGAATACTTTTAATTATACATTGAATATGGGTAAAACTGCTATTGCCTTATCAGCAAAAGCAAAAAGGCTCTGGTGTATCTGCTTTCATCACTATATCCATTAGCGCCAATAACACCAAAGATGTTTTTAAACTTTTCGATGCACAGATACAACCAATGCTTTGTATGGGGCGGAGATATGGGGTTTCCAGACTTTTGAACCGATTGAAAAGATACATCTATTGGCATGTAAGAAGTTCCTTAATGTTAACATTACAACACCAAACTATATGGTATATGGAGAATGTGGAAGATACCCACTTTATATAAACTCTCACCTTCGCTGCATAAAATACTGGTTCAAAATACTGAAAATGCATGAACAGCGTCTACCAAGAAAGTCATATAACATGCTACTTAATTTAGATAATATTGGTTATGTAACATGGGCATCAAATATAAGATATCTGTTATTTTCGTATGGATTTGGATATGTGTGGATTTTCCAAGGTGTCGGTAACGAGTGGCTGTTTATGAATGAATTTCGCCAAAGAGACGTGGATATGTTTCGCCAGAATTTGATGAATACCCTTAATCTAAGTTCAAGATTTGATGTAAATAGATCCTTTAAAACATTGATCGAACCTGAGACATATCTATCAAACATTACAAGCAAGAAATTTAGAAATACAGTTATTAGATTTAGACTTGGCTTGACAGATATAATGATCAATACTGGCCGTAACAAGTCACTCGCCAAACATCTCAGATTTTGCCCTGTCTGTATGGCGGATATCGAAGACGAATATCATCTGTTATTTATATCTGACGCTTATGCCGATTTAAGAAAGGAGTACATTCCACAAAAATATCTGGGTCACCCTACAAGGGAAACATTTATAAGAATTTTATCATCAAAAGACGAATCTGTCCATGTAAAATAAGCCATGTTTTTAACACATTCGCTGTCTTTAAGGAAGAGTTTAATTTCTCCTGTCAACTAATCTAACAATGTTATGATGCTTTCCACTGTTTGCAATGTCCATACCTTGCCTGTCATTACATTACTATGTATACGGGCCAGAGCCCTTATGTACAATAAACCATCTTGATCTTGAACTGGAGGTAGAATAACATGCTAGGGAGCATGGGGACTTACAAAACCTTTCCTACCTTCATGGGCCCTAGCTGCTGGCCTTCTGGATCCACAAGCATATACGTATTGGCAAATTAAGACCTAAATACGTTCAAATGCATACCTTGGGAAAATGTGAAATATCACTGTGTTGCCATGGTGGTTTCGTCACCAGGTCGGTTGGTGCTGTGGAACTGTCTTTCTTGTGAAGGTGACAGGTGCGAAGTTTAGGTTCGAATCCGAATGAGGAACAACCGTGATGGGCATAGCATTCAACGGCACACTCTCGTGCAGCAGACACCCTTCCCTTAATGATGCCTAATAAGTTGTTTTCCAAATATTGGTTATCTTCTGTGATTGATGTTTCATTAAAGCAAAGTAGTTGAACTGGACAAATGAAACTTACAATGAAACACATAATCACTGGGACCATGCTAATGCGCTGCACTTGGATAGTAGAGCTACCTTGGTCTGGAGTCGCTGAAATGCGTGTATTTAGATTCCTTTGGGCAGAAGATGACCATATTCTTCCAAGCCATCGATTTTCTAAATCTCGTGTTTGCATTAAATTTGCATTGCTTGGTTCCACCTTGCACTCCCTGGTGGTGAAGGCAATTTTGAAGAAAACAATAACATCAGCCATACAATGTCCTTCTCTTCTCGTTGTTAGCGCCAGTGGGATCTCTCGCGGCATAAACATCGAGATGTTTATTTTCTCTGACGTTCAATATATTGACATAAACAACCGAATATGTGTCATGCTTCGGTGATAATAGGGATTGTCTGGATTTATACAGTTTGAGCAAATCACCGGTTCCTGCCCAGACTTGATACACAACTTTGCCACGAAACGAAACCACGCTGATGTCAATTTCATCAGTCAGATTTAGATGTCAGTATTCAGCAAAATATGTCAATTTCACTACGTTGCTGTGGAAATTGTTTACTGCTGTTGTTTGCAATATCCACATAATGATAAGTGTGAGTTTGGATGTGGTATCTGTACATGGTGTTCTAAAGAATACACAATACTCTCTCAACACATGGGGCATTGGTTTGTTCTGGGTAGCATAGTAAGTAATTCCGATTCTTCATAAATACGTTCTCACTTCCTTGTTGCTAAACTCTCGAACTTCATCCGTTATGATTATGTTGTTCTCCCCTTAATGACAGTATCTGGTGTCTTGTTTTTCAGACGAGTTACATACAGAAAACGGGTAAATAGCACGATAGCTATCAGCAAGTATTTCACATCATAGGTAAGATATATCAGCCAGTTAAATATCCCCATTGTTCTTTCAAGCCGGTCACATCCATTGTGTTGTTATAACAAAGGTTTAATTTTAAAGCTGCATGCTTATTTTATAGCAAGCTCAAAAAGGAAATATTCACAACCTTTCCAGTCCCGCTCACACTGCAAACACCCGTTCATAAGAACTACTGTACCATAGAAATTCATAGTACCATCTCTTCTCAACTGCGGTAATACTCCCTCAACACATGGGGTATTGGTTTCGTTGTAGGTAGCATAGTAAGTAATACCGATTCTTCAGAAATACGTTCTCACTTCCTTGTTGCTAAACTCTCGAACTTCATCCATTTTGATTATATTGTTCACCCCTTAATGACAGTACATGTATCTGGTGTTTTATATTTCAGACGATTTACATGCATAAAACGTGTAAATGTGACGATAGCTATCAGAAGTATTTCACACCATCGCTAACATATATCAACCAGTTAATGATTCTATAAACAATATTATTATTATCAATACAATAAATGAATTGTTTCAGTCACGATAAGGCTGAAGTATTGCCGGTGTGATTATAATTTAACTCACTCACTCACAACCATTCCATTTCTCTGGAACTTGTAACGTCAATAGGCATCTCGTGAGCCTAACCGCTTGATAATGGGTTGGATGTTTACGTTGAATGTAAATCCTTGAGTGCACAAAGAAATGACATGAAATATTAACATACATGGCCTTCAGCACAATATCTTGAGCCAGTAAGAATTGTTTGTTGGCATAGCGGACTGCCTTTGCTTCACTGAATCACAATGCGACCTGGTTTCTGGCGTTCCAGGTGTCGGAGAGGTGTAAATCCCGCTAGGGTTCATGCAGGAAGCAAAAGTGAGTGAGTGAGTTTAGTTTTACGCCGCTTTTAGCAATATTCCAGCAATATCACGGCGGGGGAAAATGGGCTTCACACATTGTACCCATGTTGGCGTGATGAGCGAACGCTTTGACCACTAGCCTACCCCACCGCCCCTTGGAAGCAAAAGTACTCATGGTTCCCTTGTATGGTGATCTACCATCAGTGGCGAACGATCAATAGATTGTATGTATAATGTTGTAATAATGTAAATATTAACTCAGAAAAGGCTTTATATTTCTGGTAAATAGATTAAGTTTGTTGACAGTCGTTGCATTCAGTGTAGACGAGGCCTCTTGAAAAAGTTGATGTTAGCAGACAGACGAGCGTAAATCCACAGTAGTAGTACAACCACCACTTATATAACTATTGTACAGTTCCAGAGAATTCCAGCGAATACTACGCTAGTACACAATCGTCGAGTGGATGAGTGTGGTTTTACGCCGCTTTTAGCAATATTACAGCAATATCACGGCGGGGGACACCAGAAATAGGCTTCACACATTGTACCCATGTGGCTGACTGACTGACTGAGTTTTGGTTTTACGCCGCTTTTAGCAATATTACAGCAATATCACGGCGGGGGACACCAGAAATGGGCTTTACTCATTGTACCCATGTGGGGAATCGAACCCGGGTATTCGGCGTGACGAGCCAACGCTTTAACCACTAGACTACCCCACCACCCCGTACCCATGTGGGGAGTCCAACCCGGGTCTTCGGGGTGACAAGCGGACCCTTTAACCACTGGTCTACCCCACCACCCCACACAATCTCGATCCTTCGCCGGAAGCATAACAGCAGGGCGGGTAACTCTAAGTTACTCTCAACAGGCAAAAACACAAAGCTCAGGTTCAAGATGCGAGTTCAAATACGAGTTCAAATCTACAATCAGCGCTTTAAACGTTTGTGATAATTAAACACTAATTAATGTGACATAACTAACAAAAACACATCCTCATAGCAATCTGCACTTCCCTCTATTCTCAGTGTAAATAAATTTGTCTGAAAAAAAACACATCAAAAGGTTACATCAATAGGCTTATTCTATAGCAAGCTTAAGAAGGAAATATTCATCTCTTTTGGAGTCCCGCTCATACTGCAAATGTCCAATCATGAGAAACCACTGTACCATAGAAGCTCATGATGCCTGGATAGATTCAAACAGTACGAATCCGATTTCTAACAAGGCCGCCACGCGAACCATGTTTCGGGAGTCAATCCAGATCATTCTCTATCCATTTGTGTTCACATTTGTAATTACAGTCCGTTCGCTTGTAGTTGAGACCGATGAAGTGATCACTAACACACAATCTAATAAATGCAAAGAAACCAAATTGTGTAGTGACTTACCGCTATGTTTACGATGGGGGGACCAGCCAGGTAATCAACACGCGTGTGTTGTGAAATTTCAATTGCACACGTGCAACTTTTTTTTATTAGGGTGTCCAAAGTTATGAGACAAATCATCGGTGAGTGAGTGAGTGAGGTAAGTATTAAAGTCACATCGGCAATACTTCAGCTCTATCGTGACTAAAGCAAATTCTATATTCATGATAAAGACACATAATGTATAAAACCCTGTCAACTAAGAACAGTAAAGTGACTAGATTATCACAAAATGGGTTAAAACTAGCTAGCATATATCTTAAAATGTAGACAACTATTTTGGACAATACAATGCAACAATGAGCTATATATCGCCAACAACTGAAGGTAGATCACTATACTAGGGGTCATGTGGACTTCCATTACTTTTGCTACCTGCATGGACCCTACCTGGATTTACACCATCCCTTCAGCCATTGGCGTTTATGCTGAGATTTAGCCATACATTAAAATGACATCAGCCATTTTCACTTACACAGCACTTGTCACACTCACCTGATGTGCTCAGCACGTCACCATTGCTTAATATGCACAGCAATTCAACATCCTAAATAAGCTGCTTCCAAGGTTAGTAATTATAGTACATTATTGCTATATGCTTTATTAATGAATAAATAACATAAATAAGTATGATAAGTAAGCATTCTCAGTAAAGTATTTAATAGTGTAATTAACAAATGTATGAATACTCTTATGCAAGAATGTGTGTATGAGTGATGATTTTTTATATAACTTTGTATTGTAAGTGTGATTGGATTATGCATATTTATATAAATCACAATGAAGTAAACCTTTCCTTGCAGATATGTGTATTGTACATGTTAATTGTTGTCTGAACTATTCTCAGTCACGTGACATGTATATATTTTCATGTGTTATATTTGCTTGGCTCAGGTATCACAATCCTGTAGTATGCGGAGGGTTGACCGCCCGTAACAACACTCCCGTGTCACCCATAGGGTACGCAGGTTATAATCTATTTCATTATTTATGCTTAAGTGATGTATTTGCTTATTGTTGAATATATTGTATTCTTGTCTGGTATCATGTACTTGATGACATGATGATATATCATAATTTGGTAAACACATTTGTAAGAAACATATATTTGTATGTGTACTTGTAATGGTATGAGCATATGATGTATGCATTATTACAGATAGTAATGTACCTGTAAACATATGCTTATTGATGTTATGTAATATAGTGTGATGTAATATGTATGCTTGTATTTTAACCCATGAATGAAATTGAACTTATGATAATACTATTGTTACAGAGCGTCTGCTGATATCAACTGATATCACCCGATCACCTGATTCCACAGAAATAAACGAGTTCACCTCACACCCGCAGCCTTTATTCTCTTCTCACTGACACAGAGGGTAAATCCAAGGCCGCAACAATAACATTAATGAATTTTTAACATACAACTCATTTGGACTTTGTACTTAAAATGTGTATTAATTCAGACTTGATCGCGTCACTATATGGCTGGAATAATGCCGATGCGACGTAAAGCCCAACTCAAATAAACTCAACTCAACTGGAACGGAGGGGGAATTGTGTCTACAGGTACTTGATAATACTGCATTTAAAGTATGACAAAAGGCGCTATTGTTGCACTCTGTTTTATTCCATAGCATGAGTGAGTGAATTGACCTTAAGAGTCACATCGGCAGTATTTCAGTCATACTGTCACTAGAAAAGTTTAGCATGCATAATAAATACATGTTATTGTAAAATCAAGTCATCAAATCCATCCAGTGAAGTCCATACTAAACTTCTAAACCGACCCCAGTCTTACAGTATGTTCACTCATTCAAAACAACTGAGAGATTCTTCCAAGATGGTTATTTTACTGCTCAAGGAAGAGCCATGTGCCAGGATTATTAACATGGGTGCTGATACTAACGTAATTTATCACAATGGGGCTCGTTGACGTCCATTGCATGAATTGCTGGCTCCCGGCAACCAGTCCCTTTCCTGCAGAGATGACGCCATTCTTCCAGCTGAGCCAAAATGGTTTGTACTCGTTGCAGGATACAATATATGATTCAAGGTGGAAAACCTTGTTCTCGCACTGCAGGCATCCATTGATAGCGGACCTGTTGTTTCTGTATCCACCAATAGCCACCTCGTACATAGCAGTAGAATAGGTGTAAAGATATGTGTGGAGGGCAAAGTTGGCATCGTTGCACGTCTTGACCAGAAATACCACGGTGGAGGTGTCGCCTGAGATAGTTTGAATGTTGCTGGGTGATATCTGTTGGAAGGTGTATGTGCTGGTACTGGGCGTGGTCAATCTGATGTAGGGACCTGGAAATACAAGTATTAAGGCATGTTAATTGTCAATTGTACAAATTATCTGCTGACAGACACAAAACCACATAAGTCCCCATGATCCCTATTATGGTGATCTACCTTCAGTTGTTGGCAATATACAGCCTGCTTTGATGTTGTGTTGTCCTCTATTTTTTAGATTTGGTTACTGCTTTTACGTTTCTATCAACTTATATCTGAAGCACAGGCTGGCTTCGATTATTCGACAACATCTTGCAAGCTGTAGCCACAAAGTACTCATGTAAACCCAATGGTCCATTATACGCTACATTCATCGATGTTAAGAAGGCTTTTGACTATATTGATCGTAAAAAAACTGTTACACTTGTTATTGAAAAGAGGTTGTCATGGGAAAATATATAACATACTCAAAAACATGTTTAGTTCTGTTAAAGCGTGTGTGAAACTCAATTCTTGTAAAACCGATTTGTTCCAAACATCCACTGGTGACTTGGTAGGGGATGTTTTTTCTGATCGGGGATGGCTCGGGTTTGGGTTGGCGTTCTCCTTGCTGTTGTCGATGATCCCCTACCAAGGCCAACATTCCCTACCAAGGCTAGATCAGCCACCACATCAGCCGACTGCTCAAGAAAACTGCTGGCATAGATGTGACTTTCAGCTCTGAGAAGACGTTAAAAGCCATTCTGAATGCAAATCGAAGATGTATTTCAGCTAACACCACTTACAACTCAAGAGGTTGCATCTACTAGATAACGTGTGACTGTGGCAGCAGCTATGTAGGAGAGACTTTCCGCCCCATTGACTTTAGGCTCAAAGAAAACAAAACCTCAGTGCTGAAATCAGACCTAAAATCAGCCCTTTCTGAACATATTGTGAACAACCCATCACACTCCATTGACTGACTGAGTGAGTGAGTTTAGCTCAGCAATATTCCAGCTACATGGCGTCGGTCTGTAAATAATCGTGTCTGGACCAGATAATCCAGTGATGAACATCATGAATATCGACATGCACAACTGGGAACTCATTGTAACATAGGCCACATGGCCTAGATTACCGAATAATGTCTGTCTGTTTACGTTACTATCTGTGGTTATTTTATTGTCCTTCGTCGACAGAATTTTGTAATCTATTTCCATTTATTATCAATAATCTATTATCAATTATATTTTTAAGTCACGACATGGCTGAAATATTGCCGATGTGACTACAAATCTTAACTCACTCACTCACAAAACCACAATCATGTATTGAAGGATTAAACAGAGTGTACCTGTGCAGTTAATCCAGGGTTGCGTCCAGCTGCCATCGACCATGCAGGTGTTGTTGACACTGACAACGTCTAGCAGTACATCTCTGTAGTTTGTAAGACAGATACATGACCTCACATCCCCTGCTAGCCTGGATTCAGAACTGCAGACTGCGTTTGGAATAGGTTCTTTAGAACAGACATCTGGTTGATAGACATCAGCTGTGGAGTGGAAAAGGTAAGTAAAATAGCACCATTAAATTCTTGGGAGCTGCTTGGGTAGTGTTTGTAGTGGAACTTAAATTTTCGTAATGAGGCTAATTTATTCGTGCATTTAAAGGCAAATGCATTCCATAACTGTCCATAAAAGCCCAAGTTTAGTCTACGATTCGTAGTTAAATATTTCTGGAATAGTTTAAGCGCCCAAACAAGTTTTTGCGGGAAACAAAAACCTGATTTACCAGCCAAGCAAACCATTATTGTTGCGAGAGCTGATGAAATAAACAATGTAACAAGAAGTATGTTGCATAAATATTTTTCAGTGACGACTTTTATCGTCACGTCAAGTGTTTCCTCTTCACGTCAAGTGTTTCCTCTTCACGTCAAGTGTTTCCTCGGAACAAATGTAGCAGCATTAGTCTCTCTCAACATGGGCTGTTTGCTGGGCTGATAAATCAGGTTTCTGTATGCCCTCTCTCAACATGGGCTGTTTGCTGGGCTGATAAATCAGGTTTCTGTATGCCCTCTCTCAACATGGGCTGTTTGCTGGGCTGATAAATCAGGTTTCTGTATGCCGTCTCTCAACATGGGCTGTTTGCTGGGCTGATAAATCAGGTTTCTGTATGCCCTCTCTCAACATGGGCTGTTTGCTGGGCTGATAAATCAGGTTTCTGTATGCCCTCTCTCAACATGGGCTGTTTGCTGGGCTGATAAATCAAGTTTCTGTATGCCCTCAAAACCCTTGTTCGGGTGGGACGAAATACAATTGCGAACCTCAAGAAAGATTTTGCAGATATTGAAAGCTTGTTACAATTGAATTTTCTTTCAGATTAGTCAACTAATGTTCAATCTACACGCAACGCCACTAGCAGATTCTATAATGCTGTGGTATTTGGGACTGTTGATATATTTTTTCCTATCAAACAATCTTGTTTCTGATAGTGTGAATAATAGAATGTATTTTGACATCCAGGTAACATTTCAGTGAATCAATTACTCGGCAGAGGGTCAATTACTGAAGAAATAGGGAAGGTGATAAGGTGTATAAGACATATAAAGGACAATGGGAATTCATATGTATTTCATTGACAGAACGCATATGACATTAGTACCCAAATACTAATGATATTATATAGATCATAAGGTGAAAACACTCACGACATCAGTAAATGTCGATACCTTAAGGCTAACTTAATGAAGAGGAATGTGAGATCAGCGAGGACCCCTTAGATATAGAGTTAGCCATGGCTTAAATACATAGGGAACTTTCTAGTTAGTTTTTCCTAACTCCATGGGGCAGACTGGACTGGAATAACCAGGCAGGTCTTGAAATGTTCACACCAGTCTCGTCTTTGAGACTAAGTACCCTGCACCATCGTCGTCTACTCAATCTTAACAGAAACAATGGAAAGCATGTGAATCCCTGTTATACAATGACCAGCA